TTATATTCTTATATAATCATCACACTATTTGTATCTAGAACCTTTTTATCTTACAAAATTGAACTCTGCGTTCCTTAAATCAGATTGCCCCCACCCCCTTGAGATTCTTGAGTGACTTAAAAGGGAGGATGATGTCACAGAGCGCGCACGGGATCCGGGGTGTGAGTGTGAAGGGTGCTGAGCAGTGTGCTGCCTCATGACAGAGCTGCTGAGGTGAGAGGGCTCTAGTTCAGAAGTTTTCACAGGAGCCTTGCAGGGCTCTAGGTTCATTGATGACCAGGAGGAATTAGGTTGATGAAAAACATCTCGGAATGAACTCGACAGAGAATAGAGACGGCCTGGGTCACGGGTCCCTGATCTGTCAGAAGGCTGCACTGAAGTCAGATTTCCCAGCCAGAGCCAGGGCAGCTGAGGGGCAAGCTGTCACTGAGAGCTGGTCTTTGCTTAAGTTCATGGGTCCTCTGTTGAGAAAGTGGCTGAAGCTAGATTGGGTACAAATGGGGACAGGGCTGGAGACGGCAACTGGCAGAGAGAGAGAGAGAGATGGCATCCCTGGTGGCATCAATATAATACTGCTGCTTCCATGGCAAAGGAAGCGAGATAGTTCTGGGAACTACAGAGTTGGTTCCATAGATAGAAATTCTCCGGAAGATGCTAACCTATGAAGTCTTAAGCAAATTTCCATCTATCCCAAAAGCCAGCGGATTGAATTATATGGATGTACCAATAGCCATTGCAGGATACATTCTGGGAGAACTGCTGGCCCTCCAAGAGTGAGGAGTTCCTGTCATATCAGCCATCTGCTGAGCCCATACAATCACATGTCACAGTAGTGTGAAAAACTTTGAGGCTGTCCTCAAACTCAAAACTCCTGATTCTGCCTTGAGTACTAGGATTGCGGGTATGAGCCGCCATGCTTGGGCATTGTATTATACTTTTTAAAGAGAAGATAACTATGTTGCTGACTTGAACTTCTTAGGTTCAGATGATCTTCCCCCATCAGAGCCTCCTGAACAGCCTGGCCTTTCTAGGTGTTTGGATGTAGCCCCTCCATTCCCTCCTCAACTGGGACTTCAGCTCTTCTTCCTGCTCTGTGAATGGCTGATGGCAGTCTCTGCTTCTCTTGCAGGCATCATTCATGCCCGAAGCCTGGTTCGGGAGTGCTTGGCTGAAACGGAACGTAATGCCAGGTCCTAGCCCCTGGCCAGTCTGAAGGCCCATCTCGCTACTCCGTGGAGATGAGAGGCTTTGTTCAAAATGGCAGTAACTTTTCTACCACAGTCATTAAGCTCTGAACCCACACTCAAATGATTGGGAAGACATTTTGCAGTAACCGACGGTGTGCATTTTAAGTAGTTAGGAATGACCCAGCTCTTTTTTCTTTCTGAGCATTTGAAAGATGTTTGTGAAGCCACTTCACAGCAAGCTATCCTTTGTCCCCAAATGCCAGTGTCCCCTTTAACCTCCCTTTGGATACATTTTCCATTTGCATCACCCCAGTTGACTTCCTTTCCATGAGCTCACCTGCCTCTGAGGAGTTGAGTGCAGACCACAGCACGTTTGCTTAGTAGCTGGCCCGCCTGTGTACAGTGTAGACCCTGCTTCATGGAGCTTCTCTGCTTAAGCGTTTGCATGACTGAGTGCTTTGAAGTCAATCTTTAAAATGCACAGGTTATAAATACAGAAGAAAGAACAATCTACCCAACCTACCAAGCACCCTGCAAATGTCCATCCTGAGACTGTAGATCTCAGTTCCGTGTTTACTGTGAGCCCATCACAACATCTGGAAGAAAACGACTGAAACTGTTGCATCTTTGTATTTATTACTTGATGTAATAAAGCTTATTTTCATTAACACTTTGTATTAAGATGTGGAATCCTTGGGGTCTTAAGTGCTTGTTTTTCTTTGTGGAAGAACAGAGTCTTACTACTTATAGTGACTCTGGCTTTGAACTCACAATCTCTGTCTTGGTTTCCAAAGTGTTGTGGTCAGCATTGGAGCTCCTGAGGGAGGGCCTGGACATGTCTGCTCAGGGATTTCCTGTCTGGCCCAGAGGCACCTTATGTGATGATACCACTAGCACAGCTGGTTTCCAAGAGTGCTTAAATCTCAAGGATGACAGAGATCCACATCGTGGGACCTAAGTGTCGTGTGATTGCCACAGCAGCTGCGTGACAGGTGAACTGCTACTGCTCCTCTTCTGCCTTCACAGGTAGGTGGTACTCCAAGGATCACCTTTTACTGGGTATCATGGCTTACTCCCAGAACTTGGGAGGCAGAGGCAGGAAGATCACGTCTGTGTAGATTAGGACTACGTAGTGAGGCACTGCCTTTAAAAAAATGAGCACTGACTGCTCTTCCAGAGGTCCTGAGTTCAATTCCCAGCAACCACATGGTGGTTCCTGGGAACCACCTGTAATGGGATCTGGCGCCCTCTTCTGGTGTGTCTGAAGACAGCTACAGTGTACTCACATACATGAAATCTCTAGTGCTGAGGAAAGCAAATTGTGTTTGAAGTATTGTATCTGTGGTCTCCATACAGTCTTTGTGTGAAAACTGACCCTGCACTGGGTTCTGCTCTGTGCTGGATGAAGTTGAGAAGTTGGTGTTACAGGCAAGAAGCAAAGAGCCCAGTCACAAAGAGTTCAAAGGCTGGCAGAGGAGGCCATGGTCCTCTCTGCATCACCATGGCAGAAAACCAGTGTACCAAAGGAGACAAACTGGAGCTGCCCTTGGCTACAGTTCCAAACGTGCCATCCTATGGGCTGCTTCCGCTCCTTTCCATAACTGCCTGTTCAAGGGTGCTCCAACAAAGGAAGCCCTGCTTGGAGTATCCCAGGCCTCACCTCATAGTATTTCCCTATCTATAGGCCTCTCATCCCCCCACCTCAAGACATGGTTGTTGGCTGTCCTGGAACTCACTATGTAGACCAGGCTGGTGTTGAACTCACAAAGATAAGGCCTGCCTTTGCCTCCCAACAGCTGCGATGAAAGGCATATGCTACCTAAAGTTCTAACAGACAAAGCTATTAACTATGGTTTAAACAAATGAAAAACCATCTGTAGCTTTGTGTGGTGGTAGTCAGTGATTCTTGAAATTGAGGAGGCAGAGACTGGAAGATCTCAGGGTTAGCCTGGGCTATCTCCAAAACCAAAGACTAAGGTCCAGTGAGTGATGATGGAAATCATGTTTTGGGACCTTATCTCAAACCTGCTTGCTCATAAACTGGGAGTGACAAACTTTTGACATACTCAACAAGTTCCACTTGCATTTCTGTTCCTGTGATAACATACCATGAAGAAAGCAACTTAAGGAAGAAAGTTTATTTATTTAGCTTACAATTTTAAGTTATAATTCATCATTTTGGGGAAGTCAAGGCAGGAACTCAAGAAGCTAGCCATTATCACAATCACAGTCAAAAGCAGAGACTATAAAAGCATTGTTGCTTGTTCTTTCTTAGCTAGTGCTCTCATACTGGTTAGGAGTCCTGCTTAAGGAATGACGCTGCCCACAGTAGGCTGGTCTTCCTACTTTAGTTAACAAGACAATTCCCATGGCATACCTACAAAGCAACCTAGATAAATTCTCCTTAAGACTCTTCCCCTGGTGATTCTAGGTTGTCTGTGTGACTTTAACTGTTAAAACTAGTAAACACAGCAGGCAACTTAGTAACATTCCACTGTCATTTTCCCTTTACCAGAAACTAAGAATAAATGATCCTTAAGCTCAGCAGTGGCCCTGGAGTTGAAAGATAATCACTGTTATTGTTTGACTCAACTTGCCATAAAGAGGAGCTTATTTAATATTGAATAATTTTTAAAAATTAAAAAAAGTTGAAAAATTGTTTTTCTCTTAACCTTTTATTTGCTCACTAATTTTTGTGTTTGATGAGTGTGGGCACATATGGCCACAGTGATGTCAGTGGACAGCTTTGCAGAGTCAGTTCTGACCTTTTACCCTTATGTGGATTTTGAGGCCTCTGGCCACTGAATCACGTTAGCCCTATTTGCTACCTTTTTAGAATAATATTGTACTACTAGGTCAGAGGTACACAAAATCCTAACATTTGGGATGATCAGACAAGAGGATTCCCTACAAATTGGAAGCCAGTCTGGGTTATAGCAAAACAAAAAAGGAACAACAAAAAAACCGTAGACATGTTACATAAGCCTGTATAATCCTAGAATATGGGAGGGAAGCAGAAAGATCAGGAATTCAAGATTATCCTTGACTCCATAGTGAGTTCAAGGCCAGATTGGACACACAAGATTCTGCCTCAAAACCAAAGAAGCATAAAAGGGGATATTTTGTAACCACTGCCAAAGTCAAGGAACTCTGCTGCCAGCTGCCCATGAAACAATGGTAACCCACAAACTGGTTACTGTGCTCTTACTGTAATGGCTTTTTGGGTGCCATACAGTACCGTTCTTTACACTTATCATTGTGTGCATTCCTATGTGCATGCAGCACAGTGCATGTAGGGGTCAGAGGGCAACTCTGAGTCAGGCTTGACAGCAAGTGCCCAAAAAAATGACAGCCGGGGACTAGAGCAATGACTCTGATTAACAGCACAGGCTGCTTTTCCAAAGGATCTGGGTTCAATTCCTAGAGACCACATGGCAGATCACAACTCTGCAACTCCAGTTTCCAGGGATCTTACACACACATACAAGCAGGCAGAACAACAACATACATAAAGTCAAATCATTTAAAAAAAAAAATTGATGGCTGGGCCTGAAGAGATGGCTCAGTGTTCATAGTGCATACTGTTCTTGAAGAGGACTAGGATCAGTTCTCAGCACCAGGGTTGAGGAGCTCACCAACTTCTGTAAGTCCAGCTCTAGGAGGATCTGACTCCTGGCCTCAGTGCACACCTGCACTTATGTGCACATGGCTATACTCCACAAGTGAGTTAAAAATAAAAATCTAGGGGCTGGAGAGATGGCTCAGTGGGTAAGAGCACTGACTGTTCTTCCAGAGGTCCTGAGTTCAATTCCCAGCAACCATACGGTGCCTCACAACCATCTGTAATGGGATCTGATTCCCTTTTCTGCCATGCATGTGTACATGCAGGTAAAAACTTTGTTAAGTCCATCAGAGGAATATTTATTTTTAAAAGGTTCTTAAAATTATTTATGTGTCTATATGAGTGTATGTTATCCTGTGGAGGCCAGGTGGCGGCACTGGATCTCCTGGAGCTGCAGTTACAGGCAGTAGGTTGTGAGCAACCCTATGTAAGTACTGGAAACTGCACTTTAGTCTTCTGCAAGATCAGCAGGCTCAATTCTGCAGCTCCTACTTATGTATTTTGAGACAGTCTCACCGTGTAGGAAAGGCTGCTACAGAACTAGCTATATAGGTGCGGTTGTTCTGAACCTTGCAGCAATCCTCCTGCCTTAGCTCTCCCAAGTGCTGAGACTGTAGGTATACACCAGCATGCCCAGTTCCAGAATGCTCTCTTTAGATGTTCCAATGCTGGAGCCAGGCACTGCCACCTTTATTCCCGGAAGTCTCTTGGTATGCCATCAGCATCGGCCTTTTTCTCGGTGATGTTTTGACTTGCTTCCCATAGTTCTTTCAACAACTTCTTCTTCTCTAGAGTCTCCTTTGCTCTTTTCTTCTTCTCTCGCTTTCTCCTCTCAGCCTCGAGCTTCTCTTTGTGAACTGGGCTGTTTTCACCGTTGTAGAAAATATCCACTTTCTCCTGGAGGATTTTCCGAGCTATCTTTCTGTTTTGATCCACAGATCGTGTTTGGTGGCACTGCAAGAGTTAATGGGCAGGGATGTAAAGATCATGGGGTCAGGAGATGGCCAGGAATTCCTAGTCCCTCAATCCACCCTTTTCTTGTCTCAGAGGGATAGGCCAGGAGCCCCTGTGAGTCAGCAACAGTGAAGACCACAGCCTTTCTGCATGTGGCTCACGGTCTCAGCAGCACACACTAGTTGTATTGTGGGACCCCCACTTGAATAATTATGAATGTGTTTTTTTTGGGCCAGGTGTGGAGGGAGAGACAGTGGATCTTTGAGTTTAAGGGGAGCCTGGTTTACATAGCAATACCTTGTCTTAAAAAGTAAAAGATTTTATTTTTGGAAGCAACAATAGCTTAAAATATTAGTGTATTTTATATGTATGAATATTTAGCTTGCATGTACGTTTGTGTAACATGTTCATGCTTTGGGCCCATGGAGGCCTGAAGAAGTCAGTTTGTGAGCCACAGGAATCAAACTCAGGTCCTCTGGAAGAGCAGCCAATGCTGTTAACCACTGAACCATCTCTCCAGCCCCAACAATACCTTTCAAACTAATTTAAGTCCTTCCCAAGTAAATATGGAAACAGTGACTACAGTCTAGCTTGTCTGGGAGCAACTGAAATATTCACATGCCATTCACAGGTGGATCCATCTGAGAGGCTAGGACATACACCTTGCTAGCAGCTTCCCACTACATGCAGTATGTCAAACTGACGTTGGGAGGGCCTAGCAGAGCTGACAGGCAAAGGAAAATGAAGCTAGTGGCAGATCAACAAGATTAGCATTTGGAATTTTGTTATGAATGAGTTTCTCAAGAAGGAGAAAAGCAACTGAAAATTTTAACTCAGGCCTTGGCTCTAGAAGCTGACCAGATGAAGCTTTCAAAGGACTGAGCAAGTACCTTGTCTGCCTCAGGCAAAGAGGACGTGCTTACAGGACTCAGAGTTGACCAAGGCTTGGAACGTCTTGGAACAAGTTTGCCCCTAGTGGTGGAGTATCAGTTGCTGGGTTGGCTGTACGTGGGAAAATGTGTCCTTGGCCTTCATGTTCCTTCAGAGGCTGCATGTGCTGCTTGGGGCCTTTTGTGTCACGTAGGTGGCAGTGGCAGTATAGCAACTCTACTGGCCTGGCTTGTATTTCAGAGGCAGTGGATCTGGGCTAAAAATCACTTGACCATTTCCTACATGTGCATTTAGTTGGGAGCTGGTGCCACCCTTGACCAGACTGCCTTTAAGGCAGGTGGCTGCGCACAGCACTTTGTCTTCTGAGTCTGTGTGCTTTGCCTCCACAGAAGAGCATATGTTAGAGACATTAGCTGCACAGGCCAGAGGGTCATGGAGGGGACAGCCCACCAGCTGAGGACTGAGCTAGGTAGCCAGCAGCAGAGTTCATTAGTTTCATGCTGGAGACCAGGGGTGGGTTTGAGAGTAGCATGCTACAAGGAGACCTGCCTTAGCCACAGCTTCACTTCTGGTGACACAGAGAGCTAAATTCAGGAACAGTAGCAAAGCCTTGACTCCACAAGACTCCAGCACCAGGCTCTGGAGACTGGCAGGAGGTCCGTCTACAGAGGAACAGCTCAGGGCTCGGGTACATCTGCAGTGCCCTGGTTATCCTGGGCTGGCAGTATGTCAGTGCTGGAATGGGCATGCCCCTTGGCTGAAGCCTGCTGTGGCTGCAGACCTGGACTCACCTCATCTATCTGGCTCTCTCTACCCCGTCCTCACCTTGACCACAATGCCGGAGGGCACATGTTTGAGCACCACACAGTTGCTGGTTTTGTTGGTAGCCTGGCCCCCTGGACCATGCCCTTTCACAAACTGTTCTTCGAGCTCACTCTCATTCAGGGGAAGCAGAGCAGGATAGTCCTTCCTGCCTGCCACTTGTACTGCACCGGCAGCCATTCCTGGGAAGAGCAGTGCTGGCTTCTGAAGCCTGAGCCCCCACTTCCCAGAGCATATCTTGATCAGTGGTGCAGGGAGACGGAGCAAAGCCCAGGTGCTCGTGGAAGACATGGCTTGGTGTGGCAGGACCTGGGTGGAGAAAGAATGGAGATTGTCTTTTTACTTTGCTCTCAAGATGACACCCTGGTTTTAAACACAGGCTTTTATACAATCCCAGTGATGGTCCTTCATGCCCAGGGCTCACAGCACCTGGGATTCCCATCCAAGTACTGAACAGGTCCAACTCTGCTCAGCTTCCAGGATCACATGAGAACTGGGCACGTTCAGGGTGGCATGACCGTAGACTACACAGTTTCTTTTAAAACACCAAAAATACTTTCAGCACACTGAGAAGTGTTAGCTCCTCAGGAAAGAGGTGTTGAGTGTGTTACTTAGAGGAGCGGGACGTGGTCTGATAAAAACATAAAAGAGCACATCGAGCAGGGCAGTGGTGGCGCACGCCTTTAATCCCAGCACTTGGGAGGTAGAGGCAGGTAGATTTCTGAGTTCGAGGCCAGCCTGGTCTACAGAGTGAGTTCCAGGACAGCCAGGGCTACACAGAGAAACCCTGTCTCGAAAAACAAACAAAAAAAACCCCAAAAAAACAAAACAAAAAAAGCACATCGAGGAAGAATTAGGACCCCAGTTAAGGACAGTATTTAAATGTGAGACCTGCATTTGTATGAGGATGTCAGTGTGAGTCTGCTTTATAGCCAAGTTAAAGCCTGACACAGGAAACTCCACCATCCATCAGTTTCCCAACTGCTGTGTTGTAATGCTGGCAGCTTCACGGGTTTGAATGGGAACATCTGTTCCCTGGGATGCACTGCCAATAATGGGATCCAACTGTCTCCTTGTTACCAAGTCAAGCAGTTTCTACTAAGGCGCCTGTTAGGCTTAAACACAACTGATGTGTGAGCGGTGTCAAGAGGAAGGAGCTGGACGTGTGTGTTAGCCAGAGAAGGTGTTTAGGACCATACAGAGATTGAGCTGCACCCTGCATGCGCCGCCTATTCTTAAAGTTACACTCCCAGGTTCAGGAAGTCTTTGTTTTTAAATAATGAAAGACTTAAAAAACCACCAGGGGTGCTCGCTTCGGCAGCACATATACTAAAATTGGAACGATACAGAGAAGATTAGCATGGCCCCTGCGCAAGGATGACACGCAAATTCGTGAAGCGTTCCATATTTTTTATTTCCATCATGTTAGAAAGTTAGGTTTCAAATTGGATGTAATAAATTATAAACTACAGGATGATAATGTAATGTTTAAGTTGGCATAAACCCACTAAAAAGAGCATTTTAAATGTATATGGTTGTCATATATAAAACTTCAATTTCATGTTACTATGTTGTGAATAAACAATAAATAATTCATTTTCAAAAAAAAAAACCACCAGAGGTTATAAGACCCTGTCTAAAAGTCTAAAAGGTTTAACTAGTGATTGAAAATACAGAAAACCAGCCAGGACTACACAGAGCAATACTGTATTGAAAAACAAAAAGCAAAGCCAGCCAAACAAAAAATACACAGCATAATGTTGAAATCACTTAGCTGACAATTGGACAGGGACTAGTAACTACCAGGACATGGTCAACCATATAGGCCTTTGAGGTTTTCAAGGGGTCAAAGGTAAAATAGTTCTTGTGAATGGGTGAGTCACAAGCCAGGTGCAATCCATCACCTGGAAAACTGGTGAATTTGCTTTTCTCCACTCAGCTCACATAGGATAGAAAAAGTATTCTGGGGATAGTCTCTGCTAATGACTTCTGGGGCTCGAGACTACATCTTGGTAAAGTGTTCAGCAGCCAGGCAATCTCAGAAACACGGCTTCCTTGCGGACCATGCCTCTGCTGAAGTGTGTGCAGGCGCCCAAGCATGGATGGGGTGCCACTTTCATACTGCCCCGAAGTCTCTCTACAGCAGACAAACCTGGTGACAATAGGTTCCTGGCATTGGTCTGCTACATAGGAAGGGGCTAGGTTCTAAGATGACTAGAGCTCCAGGACAGAAGTCCCTGGGTTTGCTTTCAGCTTGCTTATTACCCCTAACTCACTGTCGTCCACTGACTGCTGATAACTGATGTCTACCCCGGTAAGTACTGGGGAGAACCTTTGAAGACACAATGTTAGCTAGAGGTACTTTCTGGTGCTTTCTCATTTTATTTTTTTTGTCTGCTTGCCTGCCTATCTGTCAACCAGGGTGTCTATTATGTAGCTCTGGCTGTCCTGTAACTCACACTATAAGACAGACTGGCCTCAAACTCCTAGAGATCCGTCTGGTTCTACTCCTAAGTGCTGGAATTAAACGCATATGCCACCACACCTAGCAATTTTCTAAATTTTCTTTTTTCTTTTTTTTTTTTTTTTTAAAGATTTATTTATTTATTTTAAGTATATGAGTACACTGTAGCTGTCTTCAGACACACCAGAAGAGGGCATCCAATCTCATTATGGGTGGTTGTGAGCCACCATGTGGTTGCCGGGATCTGAACTCAGGACCTCTGGAAGAGCAGTCAGTGCTCTTAACCGCTGAGCCATCTCTCCAGCCCAGTAGACAAGTTTTTTTTTTTTTTTAGTTTTTCGAGACAGGGTTTTTCTGTGTAGCCCTGGCTGTCCTGGAACTCACTCTGTAGACCAGGCTGGCCTCGAACTCAGAAATCCGCCTGCCTCTGCCTCCCAAGTGCTGGGATTAAAGGCATGCGCCACCACTGCCCGGCTCTAAATTTTCCATATGAAATGTTTGCCCTCATTTATGTATGTATGAGCATTATATGTGTGCCTGTGTCTACAGAGGCCAAAAGAGGGTGTTGGATGGATTCCTTGATACTGGAGTGACAGACAATTGTGAGCCACCATATGTGTGTTGGGAACTGACCCCAAGTCTTATGTAAGAGCAGAAAATGCTCTTAACAAGTGAGTCATCTCTCTAGGCCCCATTCATTCATTCATTCATTCATTCATTCAATTCTGAAATAGGATCTGAGGCTGGGCTTGACTTTCTCATCATCCTGTGCCCACCGTTTCAGTTCTAGGATTCTAGGTGTGCACCCCCATGCCTTGCTCCTCCTCTTCCTCCTCCTCCTCCTCCTCCTCACTTCCTTGCTCTCTCCATCCCTTTCTCCTTTCCTTTCCCCTTATTCCCCCCCTTCCCCTTTATTTTGAGGCAGGTTTTCATTATGCAGCCCTGGCTGGCCTGGAATGCGTATGTAGACTTAGGATTAAAGATGTAAGTCACAGTGCCCCACTTTCCTGAAGCTTTAGGTGCAAGCTTCTGAGTAGGCAGAAGAGCTGGCACTGTAGTCTTTAGAACCCTCTTTCTATGGGAACTGAATATGATGAACTGTAACATGGTCTTCTCGAGGCTCGTGCTACGGCCCTTTTCAATTCTGTGACTGACAGTATGGTCTAAGCCCATGGCTTCTTTTTGTGATAGTCAATGTGTCCTGCCCATATGGGTGATTTTTTTTTTTTTTTTTTTTTGGTTTTTCGAGACAGGGTTCCTCTGTATAGCCCGGGCTGTCCTGGAACTCACTCTGTAGACCAGGCTGGCCTCGAACTCAGAAATCCGCCTGCCTCTGCCTCCCGAGTGCTGGGATTAAAGGCGTGCGCCACCACCGCCCGGCTCATACGGGTGATTTTTAAGACAACAGTGTAAGATATCAAAATCCAGAGCAATGAAAAGGCATGCATTAGGTGCACGTCTTTAATCCCAGCACTCAGGAGTCAGAAGCATGTGGATCTCTGAGTTTGAGGCCCACTCTGGTCTACAGAGGGAGTTCTATGACACCCACGGCAACAAAGAGAAATCTTGTCTTGAAAAATAAAAAAATCAAACCAACACCCCTCAAAAAAGAACCCCAACAACTGTTTTAGCAGGGGAGGAGGCTGGAGAGGTGGCTCAGTGTTAAGAGTGCATGTTGCTCTTGCAAAGACCATGAGAGTACCCACACTGGGCTGCTCCTTAGAATTCCACTTCCAGGAAATCTGGTGGGCTCTTCTGGCCTCTGATGGCGCACACACACGCGCACGCACACACACACACACACAAAGCAAGCAAGAAAGCAAGCAAGCAAACAACTGGTTTCTGACTGGCGAGCTAGCTCAGTAGTGAAGAGGTATATTATTACCAAGTGTGATGACCAGAGTTTGGTCCTGGGAGTCTTAATAGGAACTGACTCCTGAAAAAGTTGTCCTCTGATCCCCACACACATGAGTACTGTGGTGGAACACACACACAGACACACACACACAAAAAATGGGTGTGAAGTATATTAGAATTACCCTTATGAAAGAGTAAGTGATAAACTGTGGTTGCCCCCCGCCTGTGATCCCAGATCTTGGGAATAGAGGCAGAAGGACCTGGTGTTTAAGGTCAGCCTGGGAATCATAATATTGTGCCTCAGAATATCATCAAAGATAGGCAAGATGGCTCAATGGATAAAGATGCTTGCTACCAAAAGCAATGACCTGAGTTCAATTCCAGCAACTCACAAGATGGAAGAGAATCAGCTCTAAAACTTGTACTCTGACCTCCGGATATGTGTTATGGCATGTACTTCTTCCCCGACAAAATAATAAAATGGAATCAAAACAAAAACAATCCCAAATACACAAAGACGAAACCATGGTGAACCCAGACACTATGATCAGTTGACACGGCTACGTTAATGTCCCAAAATGGCCCTTTTCTGATTTCTGCTTTCAAGGTACAGAACAAAATTCCTTTGTGTAGCAGAAAGCTTCAAGTCCATGGTCTGACCATGGACTATGAGCCCAGGGTCTCTTTGGGTTTCTCTTCCACCAGTTTGTGAGCTAACCAAGCAGAAGACAGCAGTGATACAGAGCGCTGTGACAAAGACAGGAAGCAAGTCTGGGACAGGCCAGACTCCAGACAAAGACAGCAGACAGAGTGCTTTCATCGGCAGCTGTCACAGCCACTGGCTCAGTCTCTGCCCTTCTGTCCTGGTTCAGAGCTGACAGACACCCTGGAAGCTCTCCCACCCAACCGAGTTCAAGAAGGTCCCCAGTGTTCAGTGACTGGCTGCTTTGTTCAATGGTTAATTCCAGCAGCCAATCAGACAATGCTA